GTAAAAACAAAATATAATATAAAATATTTTTTGCATTGGCTTTCAAAAATATGATTTTTGTAAATGAAATTGTTAAAGAGTGTTAATAAATATAATATAAAGTAATAATTATTTAAATTGCAATTAGTATATGAATGTTTAATCGGTATTTGAAATAAAAATTATATCATATGCTTATGTGCTTAGGTTAGAATGACAGCAATAGGTAAAGCTATTATGTATTCGTTGCAAGATTGAAACATGAAAAAAATATTTATATAATTATGTAAAACCTCCGTATTACAGAATATTCCAAACAATGATGGTACCATAACAATCAGCCCCGAGATAGTATTGAAAAGCAATTTTTTACATTCCTTCGACCAGAGGAGCAAACGCATTACGATCTCGCTTTAACTCTAGCCATAGCTATAAGACCATTCTATTGATTGTATCAATTAATATGTCGATATTCTTATACAATGTTCTTGTTTTATTATTTACATATTTTATCAAGCCTTTGGTTGTTTTAGTTGAATTTAATTATTAAAGTTATACTAAACTTACAAAATGTTGTATGTAGATAAACAAACCTATTTCGAATAGAAAAATAAACCAAAATATAAATAATAGAAAACATTTAATTTTAAAAGGATACCAACAGATTCTTTGATAAAAAAAACAAAACAATAAAACGTTTTATAACTATAGCTAGAATCAAGGCTATCGCTAGAATCGAGTTAGGAGATCGCTCTGCAGAAATTGATCCCGGGATCTCAGAGGTGGCGACAAACTGAAACTAATATGCGAACCACTCGGCCATAGAGGCCGTTGTATTATTCATCAAAAAAGTTATTTACTATGAAAAAAGTTGAATGGAATAAAAATATTATAATTTCTACGTATAACTTCTGTGGTAGTACTTTCTACAAACGTCATACGTTGGTGCATAAGAATTTATGTATGTATGTAGTAAACTATAGAGTCCGCTCGTTGTCGGGACCACTGTGCAACCGAACGCAAGTAGCCGCAAAAAATGTCAGGTCGTCACCTTCGTGAATATAGTTTCATATTTAACGAGCCATCTGACTTCAGCTATTTTCGGTTTCCGGTTGCTGTTTTTTCTAAATCTGTAATTTGCTATAACGTAATCATTCTATTGTAATTTTTCTAATTGACCTTCAAGTAAATTCAAAATTTCTTAATTGACGCCGGAAAGTGCATAATATGATTCATTTATTAATATCACCTCGTAAGATATTTTAACCACCTAGCGGGTAGGTAGCTCGCTTACATTGTGCTCATTTAATTGTTTCAATTAGTATAAATAGTTATTCTAATAAACAGTAAAGAGAATTTATTGGGTCGTCATGTCTGATTACAAACTTTTTTAGATAAATAATTCACAGCCGGAGATAGGTACCCGCACTAATATACCTGTGCCGATGACGACACTTGACGAATAATAGGATATATTTGCTTTAATTATTTAATTTTACTCTCTATTAATACATATGGGACAAATCAAGAAGCCAACGAATTCATTTAACTTGAGCGAAATATAAATTGCCGTTGCTATTTTCTATAGATATGGGTGTACATACACGGCCGAAAATTGAAAGTGGCATCTCGATGAAGCGCACATTGAGAGTAGGTTATAATCGCTTCACTATGTAAAGAAGGAGTTCATTCAGAAGTTAATTAATAAAATAGTTAAATCATGCTCTATTTCATACCGATGCAATTATTTATAGTCCATAATCATAATCTATTATTTTAAAATCATTATACTTGATCAATTTTTCATTTACAATGCTGTACTGGAAAATATTCTTAATGAAACATGCTTAAAAAATCCACCAGGACCAGGTTCTCTGAGAGGGGACACGAACCCTCGACCTTTCGCAATCCGGGCGACTCCTCTGACCATTTTATCAGACAGGACTGACCAATTTTTCAAGCAATTATTAGTTTTTGCTACTAGTGAGCGTATAAGTTACATCTATAATAAAATTACGTGGTTCGGAATAGGTCGTATCTTGGTTTGTAAAACTACATACTGTAGAGGTGGGGTAAGGTCGTCTTCACCGTCCGTCGGTTGCTTTGATAGCGTGTGGGGGCGGGGCAGGCGCACCCGACCCGAGGCGTGGCGCTGCCTCCGCACATGTCACGGTACCCTACCCACTGCTCATCTACAACACTTGTTGTCACTAACGATACACACTTTGATCAAGCTCTACACACTGACTCTATATTTAAATGTTTGAATTTCCCTATGAAAAATAGGTGCTTTTTATAAGAGATAGAGATGTAGATTAACAGACCGAACGGGAGAAGATAATTAAATAAAATTTATTATCAAAAACACCTAAAGATAGAAAATTAAAGTTATTTATATTAAACAAATATTTCAATAACTTAAAGTAGGTAATTCTATAAATTAATAATTAAACACCGAGAATTTTAATGTAAAAAAATATAACTTCAATAAGACATTAAATAGGATATATTAAAATATTGCCTCATAGATTGTTTTTGCTCAGGGACGCGTTATATTATAATCGCGGCCACGAATTATTCAAGCTTACTAATCATAATATAACTTACCGACTTAAAAAAGGAGGTTATCGATTCGAGGTATGTATGTAATTTTGTTGAAATGGCATAATATCATTATACTTACATGTTGGTCTGTATAGGCTTCTAAACACGTGTGCAAAATTTTAATTATTTATGTATTTATGTCTGCATGTTTGTCCGGATATCTCGCAATTTAGACATCGGATTGGAATGATTTTTTTTTCTATTTGATTGCTTAGCTTTTAGCTGAGGGTACACTATAAGTTACTACGAGAAACGAACGAAAAAAGAGAAATAATACCATAATTTTTTATCTTCAATGAAATCGAAACACAAAAAGTGGATACACCTACAATTGTTTTTGAGCTCGGTGCTAGATATTTACAAGTATCATGTAATAAAATATCATGTATGGTACGAGAAAAATAGATTTTCTGATGAAAACAGCACTTTACATTTTTAGAATGACACGGCTGGCACCGACTTTATAAAAAAAAGAATTGTTGGTGTATCCACTTTCTGTGTTTCGATTTTATAGAAAATAAAAATGTGTCATGGTATTATTTCCCTCTTTTCGGTCGTATCTCTTTATTACGATTATTGGAAGTCAGCTTTTTTTTTAAATTGTTCTCTAAGTTAATGGCACGTTATTTATTTATAACATATCAACTTTATTAAATATCGTGTGCGGAGTGGATGCGTCCCGCATTCATCAACCGTATCCGCGCCGACGTCTAATTTGTGAGAGCAGCGGGGCGGGGCGGGACGGGGTGGGGGGTTTGTCGCACTTCATCACTCCTTTTGTCCAGACGCAATTAGTTAACAGCTCCTCTTGTTGCATTCGAAAGATTTATAACAGTGAAAACTGTCAGCTATTTGTTAGCAAAGTCACATTTTGCATCAATAAAACAAACGTACGCGCGTATTGATATATTTTACAGAGACGCTTTTATATGCGAAACAGGAACGAATGAGTTTTAGAATTATATTTAGTAAATTAAATATGTGAAAATTACAAAAGGTCCTTAATTATTTTTTGATAAGTTATACAATATCCCAAAAATAAATATACAAATTCTTGTTAGAATTGTATTTGATCAATTTTGCATTCTGTACCATCTCAAAGTAGGTGCCAGCGACAAAATGCATTTTTAAGCATTTTTAATTAAGAATATTCTTGCTTATTTAATCAAAAATATCTTGTCTCTATAACAAACCAATATCACGATCATCACACACCGCCCCATTTTGTTGAAGAAACCCCAACCTGTAGGTTGAATATGTCACACATAATTGCTACAAATACAAATGCATTTCTTTTATGTTTAATTAAACTTTAAGTCGGTGACATACAGCCATAAACTAACCTCCGTGCGTCTCCTGCTGTCTCCCCTGTGCGACATTACTGTCACGTCAGCATGACCACATGTCAAACGAGTAGGTAACTAGGTATATAGTGTGTCAAAATATCATTTTCAAGGATTTCAAACATTCTTCATAGGATTTCTTTAATTTATAAAATACATCTTAGGGGGCGTCCATAAATTACGTGAGGTGTTTTTTTTAAATTTTCTGTCCCTCCCTCCCCCTCTGGTGAGATATCGTGAGATTTTATTCAACCCCCTCCCCCATCCCCCAATCTCACGTGAGATTTTTCAAAATGCAATTTGATGAGTACTTGCGAGTATTTGCCTTGTTGTAGTATCGAGTACTCAGTATCGAGTATCGCTTTTGAAAGTATCGATACCTACTCGGTATCGAAAGTATCGTTCGAGCCCTACAAATATGATGGTTTGACATTCAGTCGATGTATAGCGTCGAAATATGAATGAAATTATTTTCTTTCGAACGAATTAGTGAATGATCTTAATCGTATACGTTTACGCTTAAGATTAAATCTTAAGCATGTACAATCTAGATTAAATGGACCAAAATAGTATTTTTTTTTTGTTTCAATCAGAAAAAAATTTGCGTGATATTTGCCGAGACCCCCCTCTCTCCAACGTAAGATTAGATGAGATTTGCCTCGACCCCCTCCCCCCCTTAAACATCTCACGTAATTTATGGACGCCCCCTTATATAAGAAGTTTTGTCTTTCAGTTCAGTAGTAGCCAAGAAAATTGCAATAATCGAACCGAATATATTCGGCACCAAAACCGAATAATTTGACTGAATACAAATAGCAAAGATACTGAATACCGAATACCAAATGAATAGTTGTTAAGTGTTTTTAAGAGGAGAGAGTCTCAAGTGGGGGTATATAAATGTATTTTTAAATAGTTAGTTATACTTTATAAAGATGTCATTAAAACTTTCGATTTCACATCCATTTCGAAAACCGTCACGAGAAAAGGGATCCGTCCGTGACACTAATTCGAAACGTATAAAATCTGACTCCTGCTCGCCGACAAATGTTCCCCAATTAAACTAATAAAGGAACAATGCGTCGGCGACGGTCGGGACTCGGGTGTCGTCGTCAAAGGAGGCGCGACATCAAAGGTCGCGCGGGTGTGTCACACGACACTTGTGACGTCACCGTACCACATGTCTATGTAGCTACGTGCGTGTGCGCTACCAGACGCTAAACACTTATTAGTCGTTAGAATATAACATTTTTGATAAAAAATAAATCGATTTCAAAATAAACAAAGTTTGAGGTTATATTCTGAGTTTTCTGAAATAAATACGGGTTCCTATTATCTGGCGAAATATTGATGCTACGAAACTCATTTGGCATAATCTACTTTTGGCGACTACTTCTACATGAAAATAATTTTGATTTGCCGCACTTTTTAATATTTATACCTACATATGATAAACGTTTTGGCACCACAAAAACTGATTCACGTATGTACTTCCCTATTTCAAATCGTCAGAAAATGATAACGCAACTTTTCTGCACTTTGCTTTTTAGCGTTAATTTACTTGGGATCTTGCTATACATATTAAGAATTTTAAATGTCGTTACTGATAAATAAGATTAAGGATATTTTGTCCATAGCTAAAAGGAGGCCTTAGTTAATGGTAGGCGATAAAGATGGACTATATGTATAGTTCTGTTTCAAATAAGAGAAAGATTCAATTTTTATGATGCAAGTACCTATATGGGCTTTTAAACTTATGTGTGATATTTTGTCGTGTAGACCCGAGCGGTGGTGGTATGGGTGGCGGAGGCGTGGGAGGCGCTGGTGGGCAGCAGTACGGCGAGGTGAACCAGCTGGGCGGGGTGTTTGTGAACGGCCGACCGCTGCCCAACGCGGTGCGATTGCGCATCGTGGAGTTAGCACAGCTCGGCATCAGGTCAGTACACTGACATACTTACTGTAGTTGTACTGAAAGACTTTTTGAATAGTGTTTAATAGTTTCAATGACTGCTGCTGAAGGTATATAGATTTTTAGTGAACGTGTTACATACATAAAGTGAAAATACTTATGCTGAAAGATGATTTAGAGTCTTATCTGATATGTTTGCTATCAGTAAAGTTCCATAATAAACATTCAAATATATGTAAATTATGCGGCAGGCCCTGTGATATCAGTCGACAGCTCCGAGTGTCCCATGGTTGTGTGTCCAAGATCCTGGCGCGGTACCACGAGACTGGCTCGATACTGCCTGGGGCCATCGGCGGGTCTAAACCAAGGGTCACCACACCCAAGGTACTATTCGGTCACCTAAAATATTAATACAACAAAGACTGCGTCGACGTTACATTAATTATTATTAAATTGAAAGTGACTTCTCTTTTCTTAGTTTAGATAATTATTTTTAATCATACACACAATTAATATTTCCACCTACCCCTTTCATTAAACTAAACCGTGGAGCATCTTGGTTCACATCCGCAACACATAACATACACATACAATCCTCTTGGGTATTTGCTTCTAGGTCAATATCGAATCTTTGAACTAGTCGGCTAGTCTTCCTCTTTGATTATTATGATTATATTCAGGTGTAATATACGTTCTCCAGGTGGTTTCTTATATAAAGCAGCTGAAAGCGAAAGACCCCGGCATATTCGCGTGGGAGATTCGCGACAGACTGCTGGCGGACGGCGTGTGTGACAAGTACAACGTGCCGTCGGTGTCCAGCATCAGCCGCATCCTGCGCAACAAGCTCGGCGGCGGCGCCCTCTACCCTGTGCCACCGCTGTACCCTGTGCCACCGCAGCGGTGCTGGCCTCTGCACCAGCCTTACGACTACTACGTTTATCTTCAGGTGAATATACCTATCTCTTGAACTATGCACTATTCGATAAAAGGTGAACCCGATATGATGATGACCTTAAAGTTCCCAATTTTATTGTTGTTATTTCTTATATTTTTTTCTTCATAAGGGTGTCCTCGGATTTCAAATGCCTTTGACACTTTTCATAATTGAATGTGAAATATTTAAATTATGTTTTAAACTTGATGGATGATAACTGTGTGTCTATTGTATATTATAACATGTTACCGCAGGGTCGGCAGCACGCAGCCAGCAACCCCCACCCACTGCCGCATCCTCACCAGCAGCCGCCGCACCATGCGCACGCGCACGCGCTCTGACCCCCGCCACTGTGCCGTGCGTGGTGACTGCCGCCCCCTCACACACTTGACCGTATGACTGAGTAGGTCATAGTCAAACGTGACTGCTTATTTGACTGCTGAGTAGATCATTGTGATCGCAGTGTTGTTGCCAACTTTTTTAATAATCGAACAGTCTGAACTTAGTAAGTCTAATACATAGTTCAAGAAACTCGGAGGAACCAATTGTCTACGATAAGTAAATGTAGAAATATTGATTATGAAAAAAGTTGATTATTTTATAATTGAACGAATTCAAACGTTTAATTCAATCTAATCAAATTAGCTGGAGTTTGTTGAGTTTAGAATCAATATTCAAGGTTGAATTATTTTATCAAAGACTGACCGTTAATCTGCTGTTTCAGATAACTTTCATACAATTTCTATTTTATATTATGTTTATGGGTAGTATGATTCATTGTTATTAAATTAATTATCCCGGCGTGAAGATATAGATCGATACAGATAGATAATTAATTAAAATGATTGATTTCGTAGTCAGAAACTATTTTAAGGTGTGTGGTATCTCGTGTTGCAGGTTTTTGTACTTATATAAATGATTTCCGAAGATAATATTAAAATTATCATAAATTGAAGAGGTAAATAAATGATGTTTAATATGCCTATAAAATAATGATAAGGTTACACATAAAATAACAAATAATAAAGTATTAAAATATGTAAATACCTATATAGCGGCGGTGTAAGATAATAATTTTAAGATAAATAATTATAATTAGTGATACTGTAAATTATGAAAATTAAAGGAATTTGGTTTACCTACATAAAATATTAAAAACTATAATTTGTTGTATGTGAAAGTAGCGTTTCATAGAAAGTACCATTCTGAATATTTATTTTGTTGGTTATAATAATTAAAAATATAAACTTGAGCTTATAAAGTTCCTCGTTAGGAACTTTGCAAAGAAACAGGGTTTCAATAGGCATAGATGAAAAATGACCACCAATAACCCACTACCTATGCGGGCGCGCAGTGCGTTTGCAGATGCAATCCCTCATCCATTCTATGTAGCGTATATGAGAAAGATGCTTCCAGAATAGCAGATGGAATGAGCTAATGTAATGGCCGCACGAACGTTATTGTCCGACAGTGTATTTAAGTGCATTGATGTAAATAACATAAGTGTAGTGATATGTAACAATGAGATGTACTTAACTATGTGAGAGCAGGTTGCACATGCCGAGTGTCAATTGGGTTTCGTCGAAGATTGTACAAAGAGAAATATTTATATTTACCGACTAATTATTAGTTTTAGTAAACAAAAATTTAAACATATCTCCGGAATAAAGTGGTTTGTTATGATATATGTGTTTCTTTTATTTTTTATTGCCTCCTCTCTATGACAGTAACTAGTCTCTGTAAAAGTAGCAGATGTGGATGATAATAATATAATACAGTTATATTCAATAGCTCACTAAAAGTTGCTGCCCTATAAATTAAAACGCAATGATGTTAAGAACAATTTGACATTAGCTACGGAAGATGCTGCAGTAGTGTCGTAGATTCAAAAATTACCGGAGTTTTTCAGAGATCAAACCCACAAAAATATTTTGTAAAATCTTGGATTCAAAATGTTACAATATTTACTGTCTTTTGAAAAACTGTGAAACAAACATAAATTTCGTTTAATTATCAGATAATAATCGAATTCAATAATTGTCTTAAGATTAAAAAATATCGCTTGAGAAAAAATAACATGAACACGTAAGATATAGTAAAAATCAATTTCATCGGTTTCTCATAAACAAATCCCATTACAAACAATAATAACAGCTATTTCAGAATGGCACGAAAAGAAATCATAATTGATTCCGAGCACAATGGCCGTCGGTTTACTACCGAAACGATAAAGGTATATAATGCGCGCGCGCAGACACGCACTGCCAATTAAACCGTTTGCTTTGTTTCGAATTTAATACTACCTAATCCGAAATTTTACTGTATTAATAACAAATTTTACGAGCGCGCGGGAAAAGCGTACGGACAAAAAATAAACATGGCGACTGTTTTAAGGTGCGTTCTGAATGTTCAATTCTGAATTTCGTTCAGTTTGAAGCTTTACCTAATATCGTAATTCTCTCTGCTCAATAACGTATGTACATACGGGTTTTTATATATTAGGCGTCTTATTTTCTTGTAATAGAATACGCGAGTAATCAGTTTAACATTATTATAAATAAAAAAGTGCGGACGGCACTCGGCACGTCTTGCAGATACTGACTGAGTGTGGAAGCTGCTAGATTTAGCAATGGACTTCCGCACGATAACGCCTGATTATCTATTAAATACTTAGTTCCCATGTCATTTCAAATATGGTAATCTATTGTTTGTACAATAGATAACCATATTTGAAATGATATTTGTATATCAAATGTTCTCTTGAGTAGAGAATTTCATTTGAGTTGCCAACATAAAAAAATTGCTGACATCTTTGGCCGGATGATGTTAGATTTGTAAATAAATATTAACATGCTTTGTTTCCTTTAGTTGCAGATTTACAGTTAATTTATTTTTTGTTACAACGTCTAGGGTACTCAGTTGGGTTTGTTTCATTATGTAGTGAATAATTTCATTTGTTGTGAAATATTGTTCGAATAATAATCATCATCAGCTAATTAGTGTCTCCATTACTGGAGTACATGCTAATTCTATGGTTGGAATCAAATAAGAACAGGCCATAGGTAATCACGTGCGTGAGTGGTGGATGCTGTTGCAGCTGCAGCCAGCAGCGTCGGCTTTACGTAAGTGCATTCGAAGTATGGAGGAACTCGAGACAATAAGTATTTAAGGCCATCCCTCCTATGACCGACCGTTGTGAAAATTGCGAGCGCGCTAGGGCTCCTCACTTTGTTACTTAAATTGTTTTATCAAAGTCTATAAATAGGCGGGGTGAGTGCGAGCGAGGGTGTGGTACGCTGCCTTACGTCAGTCACCCGACTCCTGCGCACCGCACTAGTGTAATGAAGGCGGTAGCTTTGACGTAACCCACCCGCTGCCCTCGCAACATTATGTTACTGCTGCCGTGAAATTAACGCTCAGCTCACACGATTCTACTGCTTTGCGATTCTCAGATAGTACACCACTATCGATTAAAAATTAGTGTGGTAAAAAGAAAGTCTTTTTTAATTTATTTTTATACAGTTGATTATTTATTAATATTTCTATTATTTCAAAAATGACATGAAGGAAAGAATTTGAATTGAATTAATAACATTATTTTTTTTTCATCTTTGTACACCAATCAGAGGTTGTAACCAAAGATTTTTTGAGTGGAGTAGGAGAAGTGCCATTATGAAATCAAACATTTGCCAGATGACTGACCAGAAGAACAATTATATGTCTAGTCATTAATTAGAATGTCTGGGATACCAGGAGCGCACTCTGAATTTCGATTGGACAGATCATTGTCGATTTCATACGGGTCAGTCTCTAAGAGGAGTCTCTTACAAAATGTGATCGCAATGGTGTCAAGTTTTGTGAACCTTAGTGATGCAAAATCTTTGAAGAGTATCTTCAGCTAGTTTTTATTACATCTGCAAAGTAATTGTTACATTTGTATATCCATTCAAGTTTAACAGCTCTAACACAACTTTTTTTTTAATTGTATCTCATAGTATATATTGGTTTATTGATCCCTTTAATATTTTGTGATCAAAAATTGCGATATCTTTTTTTAAGTAATTTTTACAATTTCATTATCACACTGTGGTTTCATTTACATTTTTATTATTTATCTAGGTCACTCTTAAAGTTTCTACATTTAAAGTTGGAACATTTTGGTCGTAGAAATACATTTTGTTTTATGTGTTTGTCAGTTGTTTTCACATTGTTGCGTCATTTTAAAAATCGGGAAAATTTCGTTGCATGATTTTTTACGATTTTATGAGGAAGTATTGTAAGAAAAAAAAGTAAGCACTAAAAAAGCACCTCGCTAGATGGCGACTCTAGCAAAAGTTGATTTTTGTAGGAAACGAATGGACCAAAATAGTTATAACCGTTCCTTTCAACTAACATATTAAAAAACTGAATTAACAAAATTGGAAACATAGATATCAATACAAATACGAAAAAGTACATATAGATTATGAGCTGGTTATTGAGATTTGCAAATTAATTTTCTTTTATACAAGAAAGAAAACCGGAAGGGTTGCCATGGAGAAATCAAGAAAATACCGTAGCGTAGTTTTTTTTAATACTTCCTCATTTGGCAGCTCTGCAATGCTTCGTTTGGCTTAAATCTGCTTTTGGTGAAAAACCACTGTGCAAGCCGACTATTAAAAGCTGGTTTGCAGAATTGAATCGCGGTCGTGTCACACGTCATGATGAAATTCATATTGGTCGCCCATGCATCGCTGTGAGTGACGAAAACATTGATGTTGTGTGCCGTATGATCGAAACACAAAGACATTTGACCTTCCATAAAATCCGGACATCTTTGGACATGCATGAGTCAATTACTGTCAATCCTACACAAACACCCATGTGTTTCTAGTCCCCCACCCCACGTATTTCCACGTATTTACAAACTCGGGTCCTTCAAAGAGGTGTGATGAGGCTCTTTAGCAGACCGGCGAGATAGTGATGGCTGCCGGGAATGATTTCTTCTTGTGACAGCTATTAGTATTATTGGATTGTATTGTAATATCGCTTTCTATGTTTTCGACATAATTTGACTTATGCTCAAAAAAATTGGACAACATCACTCGGTACCATGTTATGCTTGCTAGATACAACGAATGAGCTTCAAATTTGGTGTGGGACATAGTAACTGGTGACCAAACTTGGATTTATAGCTACGATCCCAAAACAAAGCAGCAATCTAGCGTGAGGGTCTTTCAAGATAAGCCGAAACCAACCATATTGGCGCGCGAGAAAAATGCTTCGTAGCGGATGATTGCTTCTTTTTTTTATTAAACTGGACACAACGCTACTGTTACTTTAGAAAATCGTTGATGACTGG